GCCACCGTGATGCTACTGTAAGTACCCAAATATACATATAGATTTCTTTCCCTTTTACCACGAGTAAGAATCAAGGCCCCCTTGCTCATCTTCCAAGCATCTAATGTAAACGAAGTGATCACTCCACCCTCTGACAACTGACCCACTAAAATAAGATTTCGTGTTAGACTAGACACGTGTCTAACATCCTTCAAGTTCAGAACCGTCTCACCTATCTGAGTAATTTGCACATCCCCTTTCCCAACTATATTGCAGGCTTCATCATCGCCCAAATACACTTTACCAAAATTTTTCTACACATAGTTTTGTAGCACATCTATGTGTGGAGTAGCATGGAATGAAACTCTAGAATCTACCATCCCAGATTCACTGTGAGAATCCAGCGAACAAATCGAAGTATCATTATCAGACTCTTCAGCAATATTAGCAGTATTTTTACCTCTTTGATTATTCTCATTTTTCTACTTTTTCGGTGCCTTACAGTCCCGTTTCTAGTGCCCCTTCTGACCATAATTCCAACAGCCCTCATTTCTGTCACAAGATTTACTTCGGCCTCTGTTTCTTGAATATGACTTTTTCTTGCCCTTTTTATTGTCTCCCTTATTCATAGACATGTCTCTCTTCTCCGTATTGAGTGTTGAACCTGAAACAACATCCTTACCCAATGCTCTTCTCCAAGCCTCTTCTCTAATACCAATGCCACAACATTCTCCAATTTTATCTTTGTAGACCCAAAAGAATTGCTTACTACCACTACAAGTCCATTCCAGCTTTCCGACAGACTTGATAAAAGGACGAGAGCTCTAATTTCATCATCAAAAATAATACTCATGGATTCTAGTTGATTCGTAACCGTATTAAATTCGTTGATATGTTCAACAACAACAGTATTTTCAGACATCTTTAGGCTAAACAAATTTTTCATAAGATATACCTTATTCATTACTGCNTTGATATGTTCAACAACAACAGTATTTTCAGACATCTTTAGGCTAAACAAATTTTTCATAAGATATACCTTATTCATTGCTGTAGGCTTTTTGTACATCTTTTCTAGAGCTTTGAACAAATCTATTATTGTCTTTTCTTTGGCTATGTTCGACGTAACTGATGGCGCGAGACACAATCGCACAGTCCCTAGGGCTTTGCAATTTAGAACATCCCATTTTACTTGCTCCATATTCATTGGCTTCATGCATTCGATATGTTGATACAAATCCTTCTGATATAAAATATCCTTCATCTATATTTTCCAGAATGTGTAGTTCATGCTATTGAATTTTTCGATCTTGACTTTGTCTTCAACCATTGTGTAAACTCTTGACCTCTTAACCTAGAGCTCTAATACCAGTTGTTGGGATTCAATGCACTTTAAACCCACAAACAAACACACACAATCGAAGAACAAACCAAAAATATAAAATAATGAGAAGCAAGAAAGAACAAAACACACAGATTTTATGTGGTTCGACAATTTGCCTACGTCTACGAAGTTGTAAGGATTTCACTATTGAAAGAGTGGAATATAAAGGGCGGGTATACAGTTACACTCCAACTTTAATCATCAAAGTAACAGCTTTTAATATGTCCTACGTACCGGGCTACAAAACAGGCCAAAAAAATCAGCTCAAGCCTTTGCTCCATGGACTAAGCCTTAGAAAATTTTTCATTAAAAATCACGCAACATTATTTGGGGTTGGGTCATCATCCGGATCAACTCACAAACTAGATTCCACAAAGGCCTAATAACAACCTATGTGGGGATCGAGCTCTTTAAGAAGGGCCGAGTAAGGGCTATGACTTCTAGAGCATAAAAGTTTTATAAGTATTAAAGGTCCCTATGTTGGGATCGAGCTCTTTAAGAAGGGTCGAGTGAGGCTCATAGCTTCTAGAGCCTAAAATTTTTCTAAAGTATTGACAAGTCCTTATGATCCGAGCTCTCTAAAGAAGGGCCGAAAAAGGGCTACAATTTCAAGAGCCTAAATTTGTCTAAATTTAATGGTCATTGTGTTGGGACAAAGTTTGTTGAAGGAAGGCCAAGTAAGGGCCATGACTTTGAGCAATCATTTATTTTTAGACAATCACAAAAACCAAAAAGAAAGTAGAAACACCGAACAAAGAGCCAGACAATGAAACTTCCATTATATGTATCCAAAAGTTACAAGTTTTTAAGTGAACTAAATTTTTTTTTAAGTGCTTGTCTTCAGGATGGAGGCTGGGAAGAGCTAGGGAGAAAGTGGCAAGAGTAAAGCTTTGAGGATTTAGGTACTTTAGTAATAGTGAGAATGGCGTGCCAACCCTTGCTGAAGAACGACTTCTCTAAGAGTGGAATTTGAAGAGCCAGATCATTCTCTACCTTCTTCGTCCCTTTCTCAAAGGCTGAGTCTTCCTGGACCTTAGCCTCAGCCTTAAAATTTTCAAACTCCTCTAGGAGACTAGAATGCTCAAGCTGAGTCTTAGTAGGCTCAACATTGGCTGCATGTTCAGAAGCTTTCAGCTCAGCCACTTCTATTGAAAGTTTCTTATTCTCCTCAGTCAGGCTAAGCATTAGAGCCTGAAGAACAAGAACCTCCTTATAGAGCTTGGCGTACTCCTCGTCAATAGATTCTTTCTTCGCCAAAGTAGAAGCACGAGCATGGGTGGCATCTTTTGTAGCCTTGTCTTTCCTGGCTATCCTAGCCCCTAAATCTCGAGGCAGAATTACTCCCTTAGTGATCCCCACAACAACGTTGAAGTCTTCAATAGTAGAATCCTTCACCGTTATCTCCCTTTTTTTTGCTCTGAGAATGGGTTGGAATGGGGGAGTAACAGGATTAGGAGAAGACATTGTATCAGAATCTACAACTTTGCACCTCTTAGGGGCAGGGTCCTTGAATAGCTCGATAAGAGAATCAGAATGGTCATTGGTTGATTGAATAGGAACAGAAGTAGTAAGCTCGATAGGAATAGAAGAATCTGGAATTGGAAACAAATCTACTACCTCATCATCTTGGTGAACCACATTGCTCGGTTCGGAAGGAATAAGTTCGACAAGAGCTCCAAATTCAAGTTCTACAAGCATAGGGTCGGTAGGAGCAGGAGGATCAATCAGCATGGAGGGTTCGACGAGGATAGATGTTTTAATAGTCAACAGAAAGTCAAGAAAATTTTTGACCGATCTTTTTCTTCCCGACGGACCAGACGATGGCCTTTTGTGAGAACGAAGAGTCTAGTCCCGAGCAGCTTGAATAGTCTCACGATCGGTGGCAAGAGAAGAGTTAGGTCTGTTGGGCATGACGATGAACGACATGTATGTCGAGGTATACCCGAGAAGTGTGTGAGAAGCACGACAAGACATGGAGTCGTTGTAGTCCCATATTTTCTTGAGGTCATCCATCTTGACAACGCGCTTAAGGACTCTTCGCTTCACAATCTTGCCTTCAAATAAAAGACAACATAAGTAAAAATAGTGGATGAATGAATTAAGAAGATAGAGTAAAAATGACAATTACCTGGTGCGCCTTTCTCGTTAGGACAACAATAGGAAGGAGTAGCGCCAACAACATACTCCCAATTTTCCAGAAACAAAGACCACGTAAATCTCATGGCCTTTGTTTGAATCTAAAAGATGAGTCACCAAATAGCAATCCTTCTTTCTCACTGCAAGATAGTAGTTGTCTCTAGCCAGTTTGATGATGTAATAGAACAAATTCTCCCATAGACCAAGGCTCAGGTTCAGAAGCCTGTTCAAAGCAGCTACACCCATCACTATTCTGAAAAAATTAGGGCAGTATTGGATGGGGCACAACTTCATTCCTGACAGCACCCAAAAAAGTAGAGGATCGAGGGGGAAACAAACACCACCCTCTGTAATTGCACAGGTATGAATAGGAATGCTCTCCCTGGTACCAATTAGAGGTTCAGTGATACTAGCAACTCGAACATCGACATCTTAAGGAAAGTTATACTTAGCTTTGAAAGCTGTAATCTCAGAAGGTGTTAAAGGAGCCATAACATAGAATAAAATAAAGAAGGCAGAGGAGAGTTCACAAGTAGGAAAGAGGAGGACTGTGTAAAAAGAAGAAGACAGAAAAGCTTGCTAAAAAGAAGGACATTAAAATTCAAGAGACGATGTTTAAATGCAGAATACGCCGCCAAAACAAAGGGGCATGTCTTAAAAGTACGCGCAATGATGGTTTGGGGGCATGAAACGACTGACAGAAGAAAAGCGTCTGTCACACGTTTTCTTGGGACAAATGAAGGGGTTGCTCCCTTTATAACATGTGTAATAGCATTAAATGATCTCCCGTGAGGTGACAAGACCAGTCACATGAGAAAGACATCACTAGACTTTGTCATCAGATAGCAACCGAGCTGTTCAGAAAGCTAAGGAAGGAAGGAATGAACTCGGTTCTCGTCACGACCAAGTTGTTTAAAACAGTGAACGTGGCGGTAAAGGGATGCCTACAATTCAGACATTCCGGTTTAGCGAATGAGCATAATCATAAGATCGGTTGAAGGAATTGCTAGAGAAATATCAGCAACTTCCTGAACAGAATCACCTGATTAAGAGAAGGTGTACCACCTTGAATCAAAAATTATGAAAACCCTAACTGAAAAAGACTATAAAAGACATAAGGAGCCAAGGTGAAAGATATGCTGAATTATCCTTGTCTTCTCATAATTTACTCAATTTCATTACTAACTTAAACATCGGAGTGTCTTCGATTGAAGCACTTCGATCTTGGACAGTTTGTTCATTTTGCAGGAAAAAAAGACTTGGAGAACAAGTTCAGAGCCCATCTACGAAAAAAGATCATTCATTCATTACTGCAGGAGGTACTTCTGATTTTTGTCTCTTACACCTACAAATACCTTAGGTGATATCTGTTGATTAGGCTGCCACCGCTCCTCTCTCTGGGCATCATATGAATGAGGCAGGAGGTGTCTGGTGTATCCTGAAAGATCATAAATACGTTTTTGGAACTTAATTTATGAAGCTATGACTTGGTTTGATTTTCATGCAGAAAGCACTTGCGGGCCTAAGGCGTATTAATCTGAAAGGTCTGCAATGGAGAGTGTTCGATGACAAAGGCCAGGTGAAAATGAACCGTTCCTTTTTCCCCCTGCTTTACTTTGTGTTGCTATGATAATTCATCAGGCTAAAATGCTTTGGCCACTGAACTGGTGGAATAAGATGAGGCATTAGTTAATAGAACCTAAGCTATCATTCTCTAACTTCGTAATGCACCTGAATTGTTGTGAAACGAGGACTGAAATTCAGACCAGTACTAATCATCCGGTGTGAGCACAGATGTTTGGACAAGCATTTTGCTTGCGGCAAGTCATGAAATTCCAAAAATATAAGTGACTTGCTTTTAACATAGGTCCTTGGGAGGTTAGCATCGCAAATATCTACTGTGATTCAAGGCAAAGATAAGCCAACTTATGCGCCCAATCGTGATGACGGGGATATGTGCATTGTTCTTAACGCGAAGGATGTTTGTGTAACTGAGAGAAAACTTACTGATAAGTTCTACCAATGGCATACTGGGCAAGTACCATTCTTTTAAGCCTTTAAATTTTTGATGAAATGTAATGTTTTTTATGTTTGTGGTATTATGCCTCCTACATTTCGTGCTAGACATTAATATGTCCAATGCTATGAAAAGTGGAAAACGCAGACTATGACTTCATTGATGCATTTTTAGAATGCCCCCAGTTTGTCTTAACATTGCATATTGGTTATGTAGGTATGTAGGCCATCTAAAGGAAAGGAGTTTAAAGGATCAAATGACCAAGGATCCTACTGAAGCTATTCGCAAAGCTGTCTTATGCATGCTTCCAAGAAGCTAGTTGCGTGATGTGAGTGCAATTATAAACCTTGTTGTTTGCCTATTACATGATCAAATCAAAGCAAAGGAAATTTTCTGATGGAGTTTAAATTGGATTTCAACATTAATGTTGCTTGCTTTTGTTTTGCTGATTCCTTGACCTCCCAAGCAGTGTGTGGAATAGTGCCACCAAAAGAGCATTAGTGACGTCTTTCAACTTTGAATTTGAGAAATATGGGTTCCTATAGAGTAGATCTGTACAGTCTTTTTCGACACCCACAAGAGCCAAATGATTGTAATTCTTTTGTATCATGGAAACTGTGATCTCCTGTTTAAAAATGTCAAGGAATTGATATAGACGCGTTGAGGATATCATATAGATAATAGGTTACAAGCAGGTTGTGTTTGTTAGAGATTAAACAAGGGAGGACTATTCAGCAGAGTTAATGTTGCATGAATCACCAAAGCTTGATTGTTCAATCCTTTTTGCCAATTGGTGGATTCAAAACAGTTTGTTGCATAAAAAAAGCTTGAGAGGTTTTGATTTGATAATTTGTTCAGGAGGCTATGTGTTTCTGTAATTTAAAATTGCTGCTTCTTTGCTATACAGGATAGAGACCAAAAATTGAGAATATTTGCTGGCAACGAGCACCCGTTTGGTGATAGGCCCCTCGAACTAGCAATGATGCCTCCGCGACAAGTACGAGAAATGCGGCCTCGCATAATGCGAGGCATGATTCGTGCTCAGAAGAAGGCTGAGCAACAACAAGAAGGCGCTACGGATGCAAGAAAGTGCAGAACGAATGAAGAGGGGAGAGCAGAATTAAGTGCATAAGGAGTTAAGGTGAAAGCTTTACTTATATTTGCTATGTAGATTCCATGGTTGGTTGCTTTACATTTGACATGTTTGTGCACCTAACATGTGTTGTGGACCTATTCCAGTACCAAGGCCCATCAACCTCAAATAACTTAAGCTTTTTGAATAATTAAAAGTTTCATATCCCGAACTCTATTTAATTCCTGCCCTTGAATAGGCGGAAAAAAATTAACCTATTCTTGCCAAGTCAGATTTTTGTGAATTTAAACACCCCATGACAAATTAATACCTAAAATAAACTATAAAAGGCAATGGTGAAAGTGTCTATGAGCAGGGTCGGCCTAATAGAAACTGGGGCCTTAAGCGAACACTGTATATAGGGCCCTTGACAGTTTAATATAGATGAACATGGTGGCCGGTCTCTTTTTGTAGACTTATTTGGTGATAAGTCCATCATGAAAACTTATTTATTATTAAATTCATTTTGATCTCCATTATCGAAAATATTGCTAATAATTATGTTTACTTAAGACAAATTTGAAAATTAATTAGGAGTGACTAATATTAAAATTCTCTCTCTCATATCTATCTATATATCTATATATGGAATAAGATTATTTATTTCTTTTTCTCATATATATATATATATATATATAGTAACATTTAAACACAAAAAATAGTATCATTTAAACATTATAAAAGTATTAACATTTAAACATAAAAGAATAATAATATTAAAATAATAATAATAATAATAACATTGAGTATTAATATTTGAAAAAATTAAAATAGTAATATACTCAATAAAAATAGTAACATGAGCATGATAAACAAATTTATATATATTTACAGAGACAGAGACAGAGAAGATGATGCTAGTAGAAGTGGTGTGTTGGTTTCACCTAATACTCTTCTCAAAGAAAGTCATGAAGGCTATCAAGGATTTGGTGGATTTTGCCACTTTGGACTGCTCGATCACTAGATTTTCTTTGCTGGCTATGGACTCGTGCAATGTGGCACTAGTGACTTTGTTAGCAACATCCTTATAAGTATTTTTATATGTATTAAAATAATAAAAAAATTTATATGGATTAAAATAATATACACTTCTATATGTATCAAAAGTATTTTTATAGTCATCAGAGAAATATGCATGTTTATATGTCAAAACTTGGATTCTAACAGTTATAACACTAAATTTATATATTATTTCTTGCCAAAATTCTTTTGGTACTATAGTCTTCTGCCATTGTTTATAATGTCAATCATAGTGTCAGTCGTTAATTTCAAGAATAAGATGGAACTTTAAACCTGCTTTTAAAGATTCTTTTTAACGTCTTGCAATTCTTAATAAAAAAGATAGTATATAATCAATTAATTGATATTTCATAGCATTGCAATAGAGACACCAAAGTGAAACTTTGCAATTATTAGTACTCCATNGATAAGTCCATCATGAAAACTTATTTATTATTAAATTCATTTTGATCTCCATTATCGAAAATATTGCTAATAATTATGTTTACTTAAGACAAATTTGAAAATTAATTAGGAGTGACTAATATTAAAATTCTCTCTCTCATATCTATCTATATATCTATATATGGAATAAGATTATTTATTTCTTTTTCTCATATATATATATAGTAACATTTAAACACAAAAAATAGTATCATTTAAACATTATAAAAGTATTAACATTTAAACATAAAAGAATAATAATATTAAAATAATAATAATAATAATAACATTGAGTATTAATATTTGAAAAAATTATAATAGTAATATACTCAATAAAAATAGTAACATGAGCATGATAAACAAATTTATATATATTTACAGAGACAGAGACAGAGAAGATGATGCTAGTAGAAGTGGTGTGTTGGTTTCACCTAATACTCTTCTCAAAGAAAGTCATGAAGGCTATCAAGGATTTGGTGGATTTTGCCACTTTGGACTGCTCGATCACTAGATTTTCTTTGCTGGCTATGGACTCGTGCAATGTGGCACTAGTGACTTTGTTAGCAACATCCTTATAAGTATTTTTATATGTATTAAAATAATAAAAAAATTTATATGGATTAAAATAATATACACTTCTATATGTATCAAAAATATTTTTATAGTCATCAGAGAAATATGCATGTTTATATGCCAAAACTTGGATTCTAACAGTTATAACACTAAATTTATATATTATTTCTTGCCAAAATTCTTCTGGGACTATAGTCTTCAGCCATTGTTTATAATGTCAATCATAGTGTCAATCGTTAATTTCAAAAATAAGATGGAACTTTAAACCTGCTTTTAAAGATTCTTTTTTACGTCTTGCAATTCTTAATAAAAAGATAGTATATAATCAATTAATTGATATTTCATAGCATTGCAATAGAGACACCAAAGTGAAACTTTGTAATTATTAGTACTTCATGTGGAGGAAAAACTATAAACCTTACATAATCACAAAAATAGTCAAGAAGTTCTGATGATTTGACAATAAGATCCAAAGAGAATAAATTTGGGTTATGACTCATTTCTGTAACTTCTTGGTCTTGTCCTGCAAAATAAATATCACTTTTTAATATGTTAGAATAGGATGGAAAATTTAATTGATTTTCTTTATAAATCAGATTTTCTTTTATTTGATTCATCAAATTTATTTGAGGTAGAGTTGTAAATTCAAATAATATTTGTTGACCATTTATGATCGTCAAAACTCCTTTAAAATCAATCCTTTCTATGGGTTCAATTAAAGATAAAAATGGTGTTCCTAAGATCACCAATTTATTTAAATTATCAATAAACATAAAAGTGGTAGGAATACAAATTCCTTGATTACATACAAAAATATTATACAGTTTAAAATTTATATTTAATTTTGACCCATCAGCAACACTAACTGACTGAGTAGTTTTTCAAAATATTTAGTTGGAATTAATCCTGCCTTTATACAGTTCATATTTGCTCAACTATCAATTAGAGTAATAGTTTCGATAGTAAACTCAGAATTTATAACCAAAAATAATTTTAACATACCATTTTTGATAAGTTATTTTTTCTAAAATATTTATATTGTCATTTGGTGATGGTTTATCATCAAAGTTAGATAGTGATGGTGATACTATATCATCTTATATGTCACTTTCTCTAGATGAAATTTTTTCTAAAGCTAATAATCTAGATTTNATTAACTGACTGAGTAGTTTTTTCAAAATATTTAGTTGGAATTAATCCTGCCTTTATACAGTTCATATTTGCTCAACTGTCAATTAGAGTAATAGTTTCGATAGTAAACTCAGAATTTATAACCAAAAATAATTTTAACATACCATTTTTGATAAGTTATTTTTTCTAAAATATTTATATTGTCATTTGGTGATGGTTTATCATCAAAGTTAGATAGTGATGGTGATACTATATCATCTTATATGTCACTTTCTCTAGATGAAATTTTTTCTAAAGCTAATAATCTAGATTTTAAGACTTTTATGTCTTCTTTGACTTTATTGATTTCTATTTTTATATATTGAACCGTAGTAGGCCAAGTTTCCTTTATACGAAGTGGGCTATCACTCATGTCCTTTTCATTTTTATTAATGACTTCTTTTAATGAATATGGTTGAAACAGGTTAGATCTTTTTTTTTTTCTGGATTTATCTCTAAAAATTGTTCAATAGTTTTTCTTTTGGATTCGTAAGTGCGGATGTTATATGCTCCTAATGAATATGGTTGAGACAGAATAATAGGGATGATGTTTGCGTAAGTGCCGATATTATATGCTCCAAATAGCATTTGACATGGTGGCAACTGCATTTGGCAAGGAGATAACAACTATTGAACGATGTAATGTATTGTNGTTTCCTTTATACGAAGTGGGCTATCACTCATATCCTTTTCATTTTTATTAATGACTTCTTTTAATGAATATGGTTGAAACAGGTTAGATCTCTTTTTTTTTTTTCTGGATTTATCTCTAAAAATTGTTCAATAGTTTTTCTTTTGGATTCGTAAGTGCGGATGTTATATGCTCCTAATGAATATGGTTGAGACATAATAATAGGGATGATGTTTGCGTAAGTGCCGATATTATATGCTCCAAATAGCATTTGACATGGTGGCAACTGCATTTGGCAAGGAGATAACAACTATTGAACGATGTAATGTATTGTCTAATGAACAATACCTATCAGATGAATATATGTCTGATAATAATTAACAAATATAATTTGTGTCCACCTTATTAAGCATATGATGTTTATGTCTACGTCTTATTTTCTTTAATTAATATTGTTACTTTATCAGTTTATTTAGTGTGTTGTCATATATCAACTTTTTTATTGTCACATCCTATCATTGTCAAATCAGTTCTCAACTTTGTAGTGTAATGTCCTATTTACTTTAATCTATCTTGTGACTTTATCAATCTATGCAATGTGTTGTCATATCCTACATTTTTCATTATCATTTTGCATCACTGTCAAATCAGTTCCAAAATATGCAGATTCATGTCCTTTCACTGCAATTTTTAATTGTCGAATCCAACATATATATACTACCATTCACAATTGTGTAAATGCATCACCACCAAACAAAATGTATAGGAGCACATCACATGTGAGTTCTTCTTCATGCAATGACCAAGACAGTTCATCTTCGGATAACAAATGTGAACGCTCAACGGACAACTCAACATCGCTGAACAAAGTTTCTTCTATCGAATCATATACCGACTCCAATGGTGTAACGTGGTATGGACGAAAATGTGCATTCCATAATGAGTCCATCGACCCTTATCACCCATTCGGTCAAGCTGGACATGTAATTGTTGGCCCTGCAACTGATTATCCACTTTCAGGTGCTCATATCGAACCCACACCAAGATGACGACAGTTATATGACAAACATTGTAACCTTGCAGTATTTTGTTGTTGGCATGGAATTGCGGTACCAAAGGCACGTTTAGCTGATATTTATAATTCACAGAATTCAAACAATTATAACGAGATTATATCAATCCT